GGGAAAGAGATGTGGGGCGTCGAGGAGGAAGTTCTTGAAGTCCAATCTAAATTTGGATAAAAAACAGGTTGCCGTTGTCTTTGAGATAAAAAAATTTGGAAAAATTAATGAAGAACCAACATTTCACCAATCCCATGACACATCAATGAACAAATGAAAGCAACCTCAAATTCAAGTATGGCTGACCAGCGCGATTCAGCTTCATGCAACGAGTTCCACCCTGCAATCGAAACAAGCCATGTACAATTATGCGATGGATTAATTGTTTGATTAATTTAATACATAGCTAATTAATGACATTGACTCTTAATCTTTTTTTCTTAATTTTCTAATGCATGTATGATGATGATGATTGTGAACATGATGAGGTTTTGAAGCCAACGGCTGCCTTACAATATAATTTGCGAATAGCATGTTGCTTCTTTGCAAGTTTTAGAAGTTCTCCCAACTCCATGCCTCCTCAACCCTTATTCGCTGAAGCAGATTTCTAGGAGGTGGTACTGTTTCTTGTTGCTGCGTATTAACCCAACCCCATGATACTGCAATTGCAGCTAATTAATTGGTAATGATGCTCCGGACCCGTATGATTTTGATTTCTCTGATGGTATTGTTGCTGATGCTGATTATGCTTAGAAGAGGATTCTTATCTGGAGGGTTTGGATGCTCTTCAGTCGGGCTTTTCCCACCTGGAAGAAAACAGTCCAGAAATGCCAAGTGTGATTCTTGACTGAATATTGCCTGCTGTTTTAGATTATCAGTACTGGCAAACAAGTTTGATTCCTCATCTCCGGTTCTTGAAGCTTGAAAGGATTATTTCTCATAGATCTAAATTTAACGGGTTAAAAACCACTCTTAAAAAGAGCTAAAAAAAACCTCCTTAAAAGCTCAAAAAACATTTTTTATGAGCTCGGCTGACTCAAATGCATGGACTCAGGCATGATAGTCCAAGCTCATTTGAAGAAGAAACAAAACTCAAAGATAAGTTCTCTTAGATTCCAGAGACAATGACGTAGCCGAACTAGCCAAACTTAAAATAACAAATAATTATGAACAGTCAGGTATATATCTATCATAACTAAATGATAATCTTTTCCAGGCAGATTACAAATTACATAAATAGCCTAACATATATATTTATGAACCAATAAAATAAATCTAAAACCAATAGCAAAATTGATACTATAGATCAGAATGATAGCTTAAAAAAACAGTAACTCTTCATCAAATCATTGGCCAAAGATCTGGTTCTACCTCCATGTTAGAAGTTAATGCAGAGCCCTCGAAACCTGTTCAATTTTTTTTTCATAAACGATGCTGGATATAATGTAAGAGAAAGCAACGTTGGAAGGTGTGCATGTAAAGAAAGTGAGAAACGAGGGGAAAAGAAAATAAAATTCACGTCACGCACAACCAAGTTTTTTCCAACAATCATGCTGTATACGAGCTAAACAAACCTTGACTAAAGGCCCTGGTGTGCTGCTCTCAAAAGATAGAAATCTACTTGAGTCTGTATTGTTGAAGTTGCATCTGGCACTTCATTGGAGGGACAGCTAAGCGGCCTACGGATCCCCCCTGCTTTTGCAGGCCTAATAAAAGAAATCTCCAGAGTGAGTAAACTTAAAGCTGCAATTGCTTTGCCAGGTTGAATTTGCTTCCAGGAAAGGCAACCTATTCAATACAGCATTCATCTGCTGTCTACCATCTGTAAGGGTACAGAAAATGGCAGCAAACAAAACTACGATCACAAGAAATATAATGTAGGAGAAAATACCTTCTATCACCAGTCATGGAGACTTGGATATAATAATTACCTAATGAATATATCATCCAATGTTCACTAGGGTTCCAAATTATAGCTATTTGATTAAGAATTAAAATGTGTGTCAGCCAGAAGAGAAGCAACCAAGGGAGCTAAACAAGTGCAACATCAGATGCAGTTAAGGATTCTTATAAGATTTAATCAATTATTCTTGGAACACGACTGCTAAAACCTTTGAAATTGAAGCAAACACTGTAAAATGATGATGACAGCCTTGCTTAATTGAACCAGATTGTCTCAGGTTGTGGCCCGTGTCGCCTTGCATTGTGATAGCTACGGCAGCTTCACTTCTTGTCATCAAACTTCGACAATCCATGGAACCTAAACAAACTTTGCAGCATAAATGCAGCAGCAGTCTTACTTAGTAGTAGAAACTAGATAATATCGGAAAGTTAAAGCGGAAGCAACAAAGCTTAATCCCGAAGAGAAAAAATGATTACTAAGAATTCCCCAAAAATCAAGATTCATGAGAGAACCTGCCTGCTGCACTGTTGGCAAATTGGCAGAAACAATGACCTTAGGGCTTTTGGAATGCTTTTCACAGATTCTATGCTGCGCTGGTAATCTTTAGCTGACTTGAGATCAAAGCTGCATCCTTCTACCTGGAATTGTGGAGACTGTACTTGGATATGATGCCCTAGATCTCTTTGGTGTAGCAGTACAGGAAGTGGAAACAATGGTTGAAGATGATGAATTAGCAGTGCTGGTTGTACAAATGTCCTCAATTATTGGTTCACCGGAGCTAGCAGAAGCACACAAAGATGGAATATTATCAGTACTCTCTACCCTGGTCAAGTCTTTCTTTTTAATGATATCTCCAGGAAAACCATCTGCGGTGCTATAAGTCTTGATCCCCTCCTTCAATGAAGAGTTGATAGAGGGTGAAACTGAACTCTTGGATGAAGCCCCATGCCACAGAGATGAACAGGTTATGGCTTTATCAACTGCTCCAACCCCCCCCCCCCCCACCCCCGACTCATGGTACAAGAGTCGTACTTGTTTTGGAATGTCACTTGTCATGGGACTTAACCCTGCTATGTTATCCCAGTTCCCCTCATATGCAGTGGAGTTCCAGTTCATCACAGAAATAGACCTTACAGCACAAATATAAGCAACCCTGTACAATCACTTCTGCATGCATAAACTCAGTGTTTCAGAATCATAACTGGACAAAGCTTCAGTGATGTGAAACACGTAAAACACGCTGAAAGGGCAGAAAATAGCCATACCTTGCTAGTTAAGGTGAGGGTTTAGCCTAGTGCTTTGTTTTGATCAAATAAAAGAGCACCTAAATCACACACAAGCTGAAAAAAATGAAAAATAGCACATTATTAAAGTAAAAAAGAAGGTATGAGAAGTGTGCAGCAGATTGTGCAAGCAGTTGAAAATTATGCTCTCAGTTATTGAGTGTGGCATGCAGATTTAGGTTATTGTTACCTTCAAGTCAAATCTTAAAATTGCAAGGTGTCTCTCGGATCCTCTGTTTAATTAGGCAGCCAAAATTTGTGGTGTTCCGTTCGAGAAAACAGATTAGAACCTTCACTTCCCATACGAGGCTTGCAGAAACCACACAAGAAAAAGAAGGAAGCAGCCAAGAAGAACAGTTGGCTTCGCACAAGAAAGTCACTTTCAGCCCATTATTGTAGTTAGATTCTTAAAAACCCCCCTCCCACCAAACAAAAAAGTGAAACTCAATCTGTCAGAGTCATTGATCCTCCCACCAAACAAACAAGTGAAACTCAATCAGTCAGAGTCATTCATAGGGGGGGTTGTTCCCCACCTTTCCCAATAAAATAATGTTCAGCACATGTAGTTTGAGAAGTCCTGCCACCCCGTTGCTAACAAGGTCACCATAGAAGTGCTAAACTCCCCAGATCAACCCCAAGTTACTATACAGAATCCTAACAACTATACATGATCAAAAGTTCAAACCAAATCAGTATAAATTATGTCATTTTCATAAAATCTGAACTATTATGTAAGTTTGCTTAGTAGATCAAATCAATAAGGGCAGACTCGACAAAAGCATAACTGAATACAGTAAAAAGAAGCATTTATCTGAACTGAACACCAAGAACCATTAATTAAAAATCTCAGCCATCTATTAGGTAGGTTTCCAAGAAAGCAGTCACTTTACATTAAAAATAACCTTTTTGTTAATGTAAAGTAGATTCAATGTCGAAAGAAATCTGCTCCGATGTAACTGTCAATCATTACTAAAATGATAATTCAATCTTGCGGCAGAGTTTAGTGCCCCAAATAATTACTACCCTTCGCAGTAGCTGAATGCATCCAAGTCCAAAGTGTTCATTCATTGCCAACAGGTCACTTCACTCTCTCCAATTAACCTGACAGATTGGTATTCCTAAGATTCACATGTTCCTGAGAGCTTCCCAGTTCACTCAAGTCTTATTGAAACATAACTGTTTCGTTAAACAAGAGACCATGTACCTCCTCCTGTTAGGCTTCCATTTCTATAGAAAGCCAGCAGTTTCTATTTTAACCAAACAAAAAGCACCCTTATTCTGCAACCGAAGTAGATCATCATCAATTATTCTTCAGCAAAACCATGAACCTCATACCAAAAGAGAAAAAATAACAAAATAAAACAGACATACACCAATCAATCAATAGTCTATGCCCAACAATAAACCACAAGTGACAAATGAAAAATTTTGTCATCCTAAGAGTTGTATTTCTTTTCTTGAGAATTTCTCAAGTCAACAATTATTAGCCATCTCATCTGTTTATACAGCTCCCAGAGCAAATATAGAAGGACTTGCAAAATCTTTCCCTTTTGTTTTCTTGCAAGTATTAATTTATTTCCAACAAGTCCCATTTTAATTACCACTTTGCCTCCTTCCATACAAGAATTCAATCATATCATCACATGCATACAGAGCTACACACACTCACATACATGTACTCATTCATATGCTGTCAATCATTCATTGATTCACCTAAAAAAGAAGTTCCTTTCTTACTTCAACTTCCTTCTTAGGAAAATGAGCTCTTGGATTTACTTTAACCAAAACCACACACATTCCATTCACCTAAGATTCTACTACAACCATAACATAAAATAAAAAACTTTAGAGAGTGCTGTACTTGTTATATAGAGAGAAGTATGATAAAGTTGCAGACTTTACTGGTCAAACTGAGAGCCTGAGAACTGATGCAGCTTGACAGGAGGGGGTGCATGTGGGCTGAGTTGAAACGAGTCTGGAGGCCGAGTTGGCTCTGTGAGTTAGTTATGTACTAAAAGGGGCAAGAGAGAGAGTAAGAAGGAAGTAAGAACAAGCAGGAAAGCCATGGATCTGTTACCATTTATAGTATCATTATATATATAAGTTTGATTTGTGTGTGGTAATTATTGTCACTGTCAAAAGCATTTACTTTGCGTCTTTCACGAAGTTAGATCACGCCACGTTTTGAAAAGCTTAAGCTTGGCCTCGGATTGAAAAAATAAAAATAAAAATGAAACCAATCATTGTTCACTTTCATCATAGGAGAGTTTATTTTTTCTAATTTTTTTCTTCGGATCCATAGTAATTGCATCGGATATAAGATTTTAAAATTTATTGTGCAATTTATATAATTTTTGGTCACATATTTTGACGAATGATGATTTACAACTCATACTCATATCTATTTTATTTTTGTTATAGAATTTTTTTAAAATATTTTTTTCTTGAAAATACATTAAAATAATTTTTTTTATTTTTAATATAAATATATCAAAAAATATCTAAAAATTAATTTGATGTAGAAAAATTTAATTTTTGTAAAAACACTTTCCAGCTTTAAAAACAAATGGAACCTTAATAGCCCACCAATAAAACGAGAGAAAATTGAGGTAATTTGACATTATAGTTGAAATTAAATTTTGAAAGTGTGCATTACATTAATTTTTTTACTATTTTTTTTATAGTTTTAATATGCTGATATAAAAAAATTTGAAAATTTTATTTTAATATATTTTTAAATAAAAATACTATTGAAAAACATCTTACACCACAACATGTATAAAAAAAAATTGAATTTAGAGTTAGGCAATTCCTTTTTCCATCTCATTTTTTATATATTTGTTAGTGTAATTTTGAACGCTTTAATTACAGTTTTTTACACCTAACATATTGAGTTTATGATGTATTATAAACTTGGTAAATTTTGTCCTTGAAATGTTATATTTTATGTAATTATTTTACCATTATCATTAACCAAAAACCTTTTAAGAAATTTCTTTTTATATATTTTGAGCTAAGAATTTTCACACACTAATAAAATTAAATCTAGTTTCAAAAATAATTTCAAAAACTTTTGATGTTAAGAAGCATATTTTACTTTTTCCTAAACATTAAATATTAGGAAATTACAAAAATAAAAAAATAATTTGAAATGAGTTATGTTGGACAACTAATGGAATGAGGTTGAAACTATTATTAAAGATATTGATAATAGAAACCCAACTTTGAATTAACAAGAAGTTTATCTTTAAATTTAATAGGTAATAACAAATTATTGTTTAGTATATGTTAGACATTAATAATTAATTTTAGATTCTATTATGATAGTATTAAATATGTTTTATTACATAATAAAGGATGAATATAAACTCTTAATAGAATTTAAAGTTTATATTTAATGTAATAGAGACATGTATAATTTTACCTATATGAATATAGAAGTGATGTCGCTTTTATAAGAGTTAGGGTTCTCTTGTAAATATTCATGAAAATAAAATTTTAGAACATAACCATAATAATGCTAAGCATTTGTAAATCTTTTTAAGAATTTGAATAATATTATATGTGTAATATCTTTTATTTTACAACAAAATTTTTGATTTAAATTTGCAAACATTAATAACTTTAGTAGGATTCAAATTCTAACACTAATTAAAAATTTAAATTGTAAAATACCTTCTTAAAAGCACAATTCTATCAAGTAAGAAGACATTCATTATAAACTAGTGAATGATTATTAATATAGTTTGTAAATAAATAAAGAAGAAAAAAATATATATCCCACATTAAAAAAAGACACTTCCTCCTTAGTATTTATTTATGTATGAGTTTCTATTATGTAATAAATTAAATGAAAATCATAGTGGATGAGCTCCTCTAGTGGATTTTCTAATGCTATTAGATAAATATTTATTACATCAAAATATATTAGTGAAATTAATTTGTTTTTGAATTAATTTTTTTATTTTTCATAATTAATTTTAACATTTTTGATTGTTAGGATAAAACTAAATAACATATATTCAATTTAATTTAAAATATAATTATTCCATTAATAATCATATAATTTCTTTAGAAGTTATAATATATTATTATAATGCTTCTAGGTCTAATAAAACATGCAACTACAAAAAAAAAAAATGCAATAAAACCATATTTTCTTTCCTTTATCTTAACTTTTTTAGAATGCTTAGTTGTATCTTAAAAGTATCATCTTTATATAAAAAAAATAAACATCTTAAAAACAATATTTTCACCTTTTTAAACCAACTCCTTATTTATTTCCTTCTTAAACTATTTCTCACATGTATAAGGAAATTGATCCATTTGAGAACGAATGAAAATATCTCTGTATTGTTTAAACATGTAGCAGTCCGGGCCAGCAGATTCTGGGAAAGAGATGATGGCCTCTTATTGTCACCGAGTCATTTGAAAATCAAATAAACAGAGGGAAGGTATTTGAACAAAGCATAAGACTCCTCTCCATGCAGAATAATGGCCTGCTTTGGGAGTTCATTGTGTCCATGCACTTGCAAAACTGGACAGGCCTCTATCGAGGAAGATATATAGAGGGGGAAAATGTGTGGAGGTAGGGAAAAAAATGTAAGGATTCTTGGACCAAACCAAAAATTTTTGCCTAGTGGCGCTTCATTTCACGGAATATGTTTGCCACCCTCGGGGATAATCTTGGTAGGTACTTGAACAACTGTAAGACAAACACCAGAAGCAATCAACAACGATTAGTAACCATAATTAATAGAATGAGACACTAGTTTCAAAATACAAAATCCATAGAAAAGGTTAATCAAGAAACCATGAGCAATTTTTTCTAGTGAACTTCGTTTGACAATAAACAAAAGAAAATTATTCCGATGATGTCCCATCACATAATGAAGAAGTTCTTTTAGGAGAATACTTCATTTATGAGTAATATATAGCTGGTTATATGCATAATTGGCACGTACAAGGAGCATGGGCATGTAATTTTAAACCACAGGCGCATCACCCAGATACATCTCTGTGGAAACTGCTGAATAAAACTAAGAAAAGAAAGACCATATCATTTCTTAAAATGACCTCTCTTTTTTTCTCCAGAACAATATACAAAAGAAACAGTTGAAAACAATGTGCAGCTGAAGACCTTTGGCCATGCAGTGATTGAGAAAGAGT